TTGAACCCGAAAGGCTTCACATTGACAGGATGGGTGTAATCGTCGTATGCGGAGAGACGGCGGTATCTTCGGATCGAATAGAAGACGAGAACCAATGAAGTGATACTAATGAGTTGTTAGCATGAATCCCGTGACGCCCTTGGGCATGACTTACATGAAACCACAGTCCAGGCCGAGAGCTACGAGCGAGTAGTGCTTGTCGTGCTTCTGCACATACACGACAATATCAAGGATAAGGGTAGACAGAGCGCACGTCAACTTGATGACATGGGTAAAGAGCATTGTCCATGGAGTCAAGGACTCGGCAAAATACTTGGCGATTTCGACAAACGTGCACAGCGACGCGACGAACCATAGGGCGATATTGACACCTTCCCAACTGTTGCAGGGTTCCTTTGTTAGTGTCCGTACTATATGATTTGTCGATTCAAGTTGGGAGGTTAATAACTTACGCTATCTCAATCGCAGGATCATCGTTGTGCTTGTTGTCGTCCTTGTTGACCTTCATGCTGTCGCCCAGTCTCCAGGCAAAGAGTCCCATCATGGTCATGGACAGAGCCAATTGGAGGACCCAGGTCGGGAGTAGGACCATGATGCGCCATTTGGAGCGGTCAAACTGCGCCTGCGCGCGGTGGTTTCCGTTCAACATGTTCATTGTCGTTTGCGAGTTCCTTTATCGAGCCTGATGTTGTCTTGGTGTTGTGTTCTGAGGCTTCTCGTCCTGCTCGCTGCTTTCCTTCGACGCCGCTTCGATCAAGCAATCTCACTCAATCAATGGCGTTCCTAATTTCCTTCTCTTCCAGAGTGTTCCAGCTCAATGGTTTCTTAGTCGTATATGGTCGTTGCTCGTTCAGCCAGGCTCTAGGTCTTGGTGGTTATCGTGAACCTCTGGCGTTTGTCATAAATGTCTGGTGACGGTCATGGAGCTGTCGTACTCGTTGCAACTTGTGTGTCGACCGCGTCCTGCGTGAGTGCGAGTGTCCTGCGAAAACCCTCGGTCTTCGATGTTGCTTTGTGTTGCTCTGCTTACTCGTCGAGTCCAAGGCTTCGACCGTCAGCATCCCTTCACAGGGGGACCAGCCTTTTTATTAATTATGGCTGGCTGGCTGCTGGTCGCGGCCAACGCCGCCATGCAACAGCCAGGTCGTTAGTCGAAGCCCCAAACCTCTCCCTCACTTGTTACTCGTCCCCGCAGCCGAGCTGGCTCAGCCCTCTTGCAGCTCCTTTGCCATCCATGGCCCATCCCATGGCGCCATGGTTGGGTAGTCAGGGATCTGATGAGCCACCGCCTCCACTGTTCTCTGGTTCATGGTCCATGCCTGCCTAGAACACTTGCGGCGTCGCGCCGGGTACGGGGCTGAAATTGGGCTTAGTGCTGATGGAGGGCTGCGGCTGAAATCTCGTTGCTGACAAGACTGACCAGCGCAGAGGGGGAACTTTGGAACAGCTCCCTGTAAGTCTCTGCTAATTTGCTGTAATTCAAGGGCAGGGAGAGGCTCTGCAACCGTTGTTGCCACGGATTTGGCCCTTTTGGGGGCCTCCTGGGTCTATTCCGTCGTGTCAGCGTACAGGTTCCATACATCTCCATCTCCAGTTGCATACTTGGTACGGAATAGTGAGCAACAGTGGGACGGGATGAATGTGCAGAATGTCTCGGGGCCTGCGGACATTTGCCAGGACCGGTAGGATCTCTGCCCAGAGCACGCCTAAGATTGCCGCCAGGGTTAAGCGCGAGGCTGCGCAGCTCTCTAGGGCACGACGGAGGCATTTTGGCGCCCATCGGTCGATCTGTCCAGCACGTTTCAACAACGGCAAGGCTAAATTTGGGTGATGGTCGCAACAAGCTGCCCCGGCTCGGAAAATGCCTCTTTGATTCCAGTGCGAGAAACACCCCGGACAACTCAGCCCTGTAAACTTGGGAGGGGGCGGGTCAGTGGAGCTGTTTTGAGTCGTGGGTCGGTGAGCAGCAACACGACCATGATGGTGATGATGGGCAACAAGCAGCGACATGAGATCAAGCTCAGTTGGAGAGTCATGAGAGACCACTAAACTTGGAGCCCGTCTCATCACAACAATGCCTCTCAATGTCCAAAGAATCGGGCGGGAGTGGCTATGGCTGTTCCGTGATTCCCGGCCGAAGATGCGACAAGTGTGGGGGCGGAAACCGGGATGTGTTGAAGAGGTTGGTGGGTTGTTGTTTGTTGGTCCCGTCTTAGCTGTGGATTTGATTTGAGGAGCGAGGATGAGATCATGAGAAGCTGAGAATAGAAGCTTTCTGAGGCACTGCTGGAATGTTGAGATTTTGCGTCTTGTCAATTTCTTGGCCTCTGGGAATAGCAATCGCATCTTGGCTCCATCCCCGCTTGGGTTGTCAGTCTGCCAACAGGGAGCTCTTTCGTCTGGAATGGCGAGTCAAAGCCACGAGATTGGTCGAGAATACGGCATCCTGATGGTGTCTCTCAGCGTGCCAATGCATTGTCGGGTGCGGTGCCCCCAGGGGAGACCAAGAAATGCATGGCGCTCAGTGCTTTTGCCGACGTCGAAACAAGGAAATTCCCTCCAATGGCAGGCGTATCGTGACAGCGAATACCAACGTAAAGCCTGTGGTCCGTGGGCCGACGCCCCGCAGCCGCGAGGCTGACTGCTTGCTAGGGTCGCATCCCAGGGCTGATGGCTGATGCGTTGTTGTGTGTGTGCGGTGCAGATCGCAGGATGGAACTCGATTTGGGTTTGAAGCGATCCAAACATGGCATAAGGAGACCTGGTTGGTCACGGGACATGGGACACCGCCTTGTCGCTTTGACTCGACTTTGACTAGAATTAGAAGATGATGATGATGTGATATTTGCAGCTGAATATAATGAACAATACTCAATTAATCAACCAAAGATCAATTCATCTTGTTCACGTCAAGCAATTTCAACTCGAGACTTTGTGGCCCACTTTCTCTCCCAAGTCCGAACCCAAGAGTCCGAACTTTGGACCCTTGCAGTCTCGCTTTGCTGACTGCTCTCGTCAGCAATGGAGCCACTCCAGCGAGATTGCTTCGTGGTACTGTACCCATCAACAACAACAACAACAACAACAACAAAGGCGCTTCGTCTTGTCACAGCATACCCTGGTTGATGATTTGCAGCATTAATACATGTAGGTAAGTCTGCATCAAGCATGACGCCCGTGCCTCGGGGCTACCGTTCGGTCATGGCCGTCTATTTATTTATTATGATTCTATTCCGCGCCCAGGTAAACTATTGATTGATGGCGAATCTCATGCCCAGATTTGTCCTTGCTATCCTCGCCGTATCCCGCTCGCGAGATTCGGTTCACACTGCTACCGTCTTCCATCACCTTTCTCGTTAAAACCCCCCAGGCCTCAGTCGTTTGCAATGGGCAGGCCTTGCCACTATCTCCCAGGGTTGTCGAAGCGAGCCTCTGGAGGGTCTCAAGCGCTTAAGCATTCAATTATATGCCAGCGTCCTTGTTGGCTTGGTAGACCTTGGTCGAGTCGAAGGCGACCACGTTGCCGTCTTGGTCCGTCATGGCAGCAGTTTCGACGTCGACCTTGCTTTCTTGTCGTCGGACTGCAATCCAATGGGTCAGTTGATGGAAATCTCGGTTGAGAATGGGGTCTGCTTACTGTTGGCCGCCGTGGCAGCTGTGATGAGGGTGACAAAGGTGAGGATGGAGAAACGCATCTTGAAGGATTGTTGAGTGTTCTGGACACGGAATTGATGAAAATCGTTGAATCAAAGTTGTCGACCGGCGACGTGAACGAGAAAGCTGGAAATGACTGAAAGGAACACGACCTTGAAAAGCTTGACTTGGGTAAGATCGATGACAGTTTTCAACAACCTCAGATCAACTGGGAGCAACAGCTATTTGTACTCGATTATTGACTATACAAACTCCTGCATTGCCTCTCTCAGATTCCAAAACTCGAGACAGTGGTTGGCAGACATGAGACGAACTTGGGATGCACCATCTGGACCTAATCTCTAGACTCTAACAAGCCCCGGTATCAAAAATGCCCGGGAATAGAAGCAACAACCTGGGGAATCAGTCAGATCTGGGGTGCAACAAGCTTTTTCCCGTATCCAGGGTTACACGGATGGACGGTAATGCCGCTCCCCAAGGTGAGGCATCGCGAGTCAAGTTGGCATGGCTGAAACATAGGGGGCTCGGCTTTGGAACGATGGGGTGGTGATCAAACCAGCGGAGGTGGGCTATCCGGTAGCAGGAGGTGGTAAGGGGGACTCTCTGCCGTGGCGGGTCGTCCGCGGTACTTGGGGAAAAACCCTTTGTGTCAGGAGACGGACGTTGCAGTGATGATGCCGTCATTGAGAGGTTGGTTCTTGCGGTCGAGACAACGGGAGCTCGTGATCCGGCTCGGTAAGGTCGCCGTCTAAGTAAGTAGGCCGCCTCACCTGCCAACCTAGTCCACTGAGCATTAGCAGCCTCCCGTCTGCACTGTTGAGCCCAGTGGAGTCCCTTATCGCATAGGGCCCGTGATACGCCGCAGCTGGATCGCGGGGTAGCCCGATCACCTCACTCATGGAACCCAAACCTGCACTCATGATCACGGATAGACAACCTGGCTGTCTTTTGTGAGTGGCCGGGACGAATACTCTAGCTCAATGTGTAACTCTGCCGCCCCATAGAAAGTCTGCTCATAACGTCGTGGCCTTGTTATCGCTGGGCCTTTTCAAGGCATCTTCCGCCCAAAGGGTTCCCCCCCCGCAGCTAACACAACACGCACGCCGATGGACCTACCCCTCCACCTCCTCCCGTCCCGGAGCCTTCCATCCTCTACCAACTCCCGTCCCCAAAGCCTCAAACCTCTCCTCCTTCACCTCCACCTCTCGCTCTGTCACGCTCTCTCGTGCCTCTGAATCCGGATCCCAGACTCTCCGCACTCCCATGCTCTTATTCAGAGGCACAATTATCCGTCGCTTCTGTTTCCTCGTGTCATACGCGTGGCTCTATCCCTGATAATCTCCTGACTTGCTCACTGCTTAGCCCAGCCCCCTCCTCTCTTCGATGGCTACCACAGACCACTGCCTCGTGTGCTTTGAGGCTCTCGATGCCCACCTCAATCACCGGAAGGCTCTGGATCTCGAGGAGATCCAGGAGAAACTGGCCCATGCCAGTGCTCCCAAAGCTCTCGACGATCCCACCCTACAGCACCTTGTCGTCCCCGACGCCAGCACCTCTTCCTCCTCCTCTTCTACTTCTCTGAGCGTGTCGACGCCTGCGACAAGCACTTCATCTCTACCCATTGCTCCAACCTCAGCCCCTCTCTTCGTCACATGGAACACCATGGAGGACGGCGAGGCCTCTCTCCGCGGCTGCATCGGCACCTTTGAAGCTCAGGACCTCTCCGAGGGCATTGCAGAGTACGCTCTAGTTTCGGCGCTTCAAGACACCCGCTTCTCGCCTATAAGAAAAACAGAGCTCCCATCACTGCAGGTTGCGGTGACGCTGCTCACCGACTTTGAGGAGGTCGACGACATGTTTGACTGGGAGATTGGTGTCCACGGCATCCGGCTCTCCTTCTACGACCGGGGCCGCCGGTACGGATCCACCTACCTCCCGGACGTGGCCTCTGAGCAGGGCTGGACCAAGGACGAGACTCTCTTCAGCCTCATCCGCAAGGCGGGCTGGATGGGCAGCCGGGGGCGCTGGAAGGACCTGGAGCTCAAGGTCACGCGGTACCAGGGCAAGAAGACGACGCTCGAGTATGCGGACTTTAAGAAGTGGCGGGATAGTCTTAAAGAGTGAGGGCGCATCTATCGAGAGGTGGTGGTTGTAAGTAGAAGGGTAAGCTGTTGATTCTAGACCTAGAGGTCCGGCGTTTTTGGCGACAGGAGGGAAACAGCCCTCGGGGTGCCATTTCATCTCATTTGCTTTGAAAGGTAGAGCTAGGCGTGCTACCACGCTCAGCATCATCTCCCAATTCACAAACTATTCAGACATGTTGATTTCAGTTGCAGGTTTGACCCATGGGCACCCAGACATACATCACGCAGGGTCACAACTTGCGATGCTCATGTAGGCCAATATATCAAACTTGATGCAAGTTGATGTATTATTCTAGTAACCATCGATGCAAACCAAAACACCAGAGTCAACCTCAACCCTGCTTTGCCAGCGCATCTTTCAAACTCCAATATGGAAACAGTACTTTATGGACATGCTCTGCTATTCTTAAATACGATCCGAACCAGAAAAACACAAAACTCGCGACAAATATGACCTAGTACAATCCCCAACCCAGATAAAACAGGGGAAAGAAAAAAAAAAGAAGAAAAAAAGAACTCGTGCAGATACAACTCCTCATGATGGGGCAGACGGTGCAGCAACCCGTCTAGACAACGCAACCGTGAAAGCCAAACCCTTCCTTCGCCTTTACGCCGAGGTATCCCTGGTATATGATGTTTTTGAGCCTTTGAAAAAACTTCCTCCCGGGTTCAACAAACGAAACAGCCTTCTTTTCGTCCCTGTCCTTTTTCAGGGGTTTACTTCGCAACACTTTCTTTACAGCTTTACCAGCACCGCAGGTTCTTCCAGAAGCCGCCGTTGTTTCTCCCGACGCGATCGCCCTCGTTTAGATTCGGACCGCGGACTCCTACGGCTCGCTTCTCGGTGTCGCTGTCGGTGGGTAGTGGAGTCAGGGGCTTGGTCATACCCCGGGCGTTGGGCTCGGTTCCGTCGGGGCTCACTTCGGCGAGGCGGCGTGCCTCGACGACGCGGCGCACAACAAGGGCGAAGGTCTCTTCGATGTTAACCTCGAGACGGGCACTCGTCTCCATGAAGCCGCAGCCGCGCTTGCGCGCCCACTCCAAGCCTTGAGCCGCGGGAACCTGGCGACTCTCCTGGAGATCGCACTTGTTTCCGGCGACGAGCTTGACTGGGGGGACGGTACGTGCGCGGGGCTCGGAGCGGAGGCCTGCGCGGCGCGCGCGGTCGGCGTTGTCGAGGCGTGTCTCTGCTTCCATGTCGATGAGGTCGTTGAAGTGCTGAAGGGCATCGAGGGAATCGCGAGAGGTGATGTCATAGACGAGGAGGAAAGCGTCGGCGCCGAGGTTAGAGGATGCCCACATTCCGCGGTATTCCTCCTGGCCGGCCGTGTCGGTTAGGGAAAGGTGGTAGGTGACTCCGTCGATGCGGCGCGTCACACTGTAAGAGTCCTCGATGGTCGGGTCATAGTCGGAGGTCCATTGCGAGCGGACGAGGCGCAAGGTGATGGATGACTTTCCGCATCCGCCGTCGCCGCAGATGGTGATGGAGATGGGGACAGGAGGTTGTGTCGGAGCTGTCATGGCGGCCGCAGGTATTTAAGTTTGGAGTCGCAGAGCTAGGTAGGTAGCTTTCGCGATGGGAGAGTTTGTCGTCGCGTGAGGTCGCAGCCCGCGCCGTTTGTGGAGACCAGTTCTAGAGTCTATCTAGAAACGTAACGTTTTCGTCGTCAAGATGTTTTGGGGCCAGACTAGCTTGGCAAGGGCCTTGGGAAGATAATGCGCAAAGAGAGATCGTGATCGTTACGTCGTGGGGTGATTGTTTATGAGTCGTCGGAAGCTATGGCCTTGTATGCGTGATGCGATGCCGTCGAGTATGAAAGAAAGGATGGGATGTGCCAAGTTTATCGAGTCCTCGAGTCCCCGGTTCGGGTTTGTTTCTTGTTGGTGAAAGAGTGAGTGAGAGAGGGGGGAGGGGGGGCTTTTTCTGAGACAGGCCAGGCCAGGGCGAAAGATGACGGATGGACCGACGTTGGGTTGGGTACGGAGTAAAGTAGAGAAAAATAGCCTGACGCAGAAGCAAACAAAACCACCTAGTCTCCCTTGAATTCGAGCGAGTGTTGTAATAGCTCTTGTGATGATTTGATTTTTCTTCTTCTTGATCACCACACCACAATGCGATGGATGTCGAGAGATGATTCGAAGAAGAGACGAGAGGAAAAAACAATGAGGAAGAAAAGAAAAAACGTTGCTTTTTTTTTCGTAAAGTGCCCCCTTGTTCTCTTTTGCGGAGAATCGGCTGAGAGGGCCGTGGTTAGAGTCGAGAATATGGGATGGGAATGGGGATGGGACGGATTGCAAGAGCTGCCCGTGCTGTTGCTTGTGCCTGTGCCTGTGCTAGAGCTGGGAGAGAGGGAGGGGACCCAGTAGGGGAGAAGCAAGGCAAGCAAAAGCCAAACTAAAAAAGAAGAGACCAGGGATCGGGACGTTTGTGGCGTCGGAGCGGGCGCGGGCACGAGAGCAGGGGTTGCTTTTTAGTGATCGAAGTCTTGGTTTGGGCAGCAGTAGCTTCCATCTTGTCACTTCTCTCTCTCTCTCTCTCTCTTACAGAGCAAGTTGGTTGATGTCTCCGGTGGACGGACCAGAATGTGATCCCGAAAGCGAAAGGGGGCTATTTTTTTCCTTTTGGGCGTGGTTGGGGATAACCAGCCATGGCCTAGAACCTTGGTAAAGGTCCCATTGAAGAGTTTTCTGTTCCCTTTTTTGCCTCTTAATTCGTATTTGTCAAAACTCTGATCAAGAAGCAGTAATCCTCCAGTTCCGCTCCGTGACATGGATCCTGGAAGCTGGCGGATGGATGTGGATGTGGTGGGCAAGCAACAACAAGGGATGAACAGTCATCAACCACATGGGAAAAATCAGGGGCACACACACGTACACGCACTCACACTCGGACCAAGTTGAAAGCTGAGCTTCCATCTCTCCCGGATGCCGCCGTTTTTGTCTGTTTAGGTAGTCTGATCCGTCACAATGACGACTGAAACGTCCGTCCATCAGCTTGCTTGCTCTAGCTTGAACCTCGCGTGGATGATGGTGTTGGTGTTGGGCAGCCCTTTAGACGCTGCTGCTTTTACACAGCTCCCCTTTCGAAAGAAAAAAAAACAAGCCAAGACAAGTGTGCCAGATCCCAACGGTCAAAAGCGTGTGGTGTGTGTGGGGGAAAATAAACAACAACACCAACACCAAGGCATCTCCATTAATAACCAGGCACATTTAACCAGCAGAGGAAAAGCCCCTTGTCGCCCTTGTCAATGCACAAAAAAATGCAACGCGCGTTTCTCGCTGCGTTTTCCTTTCGTTCCTGGATACGGCAGTTGATCGACCACTCACCTACCTCGCTTGGAATCTTCAAACCTCTGAGTTGCAGCCGTTGTGGGGGTGGGCATACCAGGCTGCTAGGCTGCTGCCGTGCATCGCCTTGCAGTCAGGTCAAGTCAAGCCCTGCCCGTCAAGAGATGAGCTGCGACGGTGAGGGTGGTGATGGGCGGGTCGCGATTTGATGCTATAGACTCGATCGTCCCCTCTTCCAACTTGGGACCGGATAATGCCGCACATTGGGGCTGATGAGTTGATAGACAAGTCACAGTCACGGCGATGCCGGTTGACGCGCTTCGAGGTTCGTCCAGCGTCAACTGTGTTAGGCAGTTGGTTGTCAGAGGATGCAAGCGATGTGATGGTCACGCATCGTTGAGACTGTGATAGTCAATGCCCTGCCACCTGAGACCTTTTTTTTTATCCTCCTCCACAGCTCCATCATTCTTCCCCCCCCCCCCCCCCCCCCCCCCTTCAAGAAAGACACCACCATCTCTCCCTTATCCCGTGTACCGCGTCTTGATCCCGTTCCTCGCGTCGACATGGTCTTCGTCCTTTTCTATCGCTAGCCGCGTAAATTGACTTCCGCGCACGGACAGAGCGTCCAAGCTTGGTCACCTTGTTCTAAACACTCTCGACGCATCCATCATCACATCAGGTATAAACGAGGGCAGACAGAGAGATACGGACGGACGGGTCAGGGGCCTGGACCAGCTCTAGAGGACGATCTGTCAATGCGACCGACACATGGTGGCTGCATCTGTCTTGGGTCGATGAAAGCTCTTCTTCCCTGTGCTTGACTCACTCGATCACTCTATCTGGCTGAACCCTTCGAAGCGAATCACATCCCATCTTGGGTGAGGCCACAGCCGCAGTCTCCTGAACCCTTGGCCCAAGACAAGGATCTGAGGACTATCTGGCCCGAGTTTTCCCATGTGAAAGAGGACGACGTCTAGGTCTCCATGTGCTCAAAATGATGCACAATCATGCCATGACGGGAAAACCAGGCCCAGCTCGTCAAGATCGACCAAAGATTCGACAAGGGCAAGACGCGGAATTGTTGGGAGCCAACCGGCCGAGTCGAGTTGACGGCTGACAGACAGACACCAAGTTCAGCTCGCTCAGACTCTTCTCTCAGACTCTCAGACTCTCCGCCAAGCCATGCGTTAACTACCTACCTTTTAGAGATGACCAACTCACACTCCATCCTCGAGGATAGAATCCTTCATCGAGACAACTCACTCCTCTCCCGTTTAGAGCCGAATCAAAGCTCGGCCTCACATGGCTGTTTGGCCGTGTCTATTCTTCATCCGGTAAAGACTCGGTAGAACATTTTTTAGGAAATCCCTCGTGTCACGAGACTTGCTCTGGTCGTTGTAGTCATAGCCCATCTCGCCATTCTTAGAGTTTTCGATGTCAACTTTTTCTGACCGTCTTCTTCTCAACTGTATCATAATAATTTTTTGGGGCTTCTTTGGCGTGCGTAACTCTGAAATCCTGGTAGAGTTTCCATCATCCACACTCATAATAACCCCCTCCTGCATCCGACCCTAGCCGACATGACTGCAACCAACGGCCGTCATCTCGATAACGGGAGCCCCTCCACCACCCTCCGTAGGGCTGAGGAAGTGCACGATGTAAGACACCCATCACGGGGGACTCTTGGGCTGATTGGCCGCTGACGTCACACCACCTAGCTCATCGAGGCTGTCCGAGGTCTCATTGTACCCTTCATCAAGGCTGCCGACGATGCAGCGTCGCAGCGGGCCACAGGAGACCTTGCCCCGGGCGAGGCTAATGTCTTGGTTGACTTTCAAAAGCCCCGTGAATTAGTTGACCGGATCAAGTTCTCTTTGCCGAACGAGGGTCAGGGCAAAGAGGGTCTCCTAGAGATCATCCAGCAAGTCCTCCAGAACAGTGTCAATACTTGGGACCAGGGTTTCCTTGACAAGCTCTATGCGAGCACGAATGCGGTAGGTGCATCCGTCACATAGTTACAACGGCTCGCATACTCACTAAGGAATAGGTTGGCGTGGTTTCAGACATGGTTCTTTCAGTCCTGAATACCAATGTAAGTGACACTATCTGTCTATCAATCAGGGATGGTTAACCAACGTCCCCCAGCTGCATGTATTCCAGGTCTCTCCCGCCCTGACTGTGATTGAAAAGACCACGGCAAAGACCCTGGCGCACTTGTTTGGTTTCACTGGCCCACGAGCTGGTGGTATTTCTTGCCAGGGTGGAAGTGCTTCTAATCTGACTTCCCTTGTCGTGGCTCGCAACACTCTGTTCCCTGAGTGCAGGATCTCCGGCAATGGTGACCGTGATTTCGTTGTCTTTACAAGCGCTCATGGTCATTACTCGGTTGAGAAGAGCGCCATGATCTGCGGTCTCGGCTCCTCCAGCGTGTGGCCAGTGGCTGTGGACGAGCACGGCTGCATGAAGCCTGACGCCCTGCGAGAGCAGGTTCTCCGCGCAAAGGCTGAAGGCAAGACACCTTTCTATGTCAACTCTACAGCAGGCACAACTGTCATGGGATCGTACGAGCCATTCGAGGAGATTTCCAAGATATGCAAGGAGTTTGGTCTGTGGATGCACATCGATGCTAGTTGGGGTGGTCCAGCCATCTTCTCGTCGCAGCAAAAGTGGAAGCTCAACGGCTCTCACTTGGCTGACTCTTTGACGGTCAACCCTCACAAGATGATGAACGTTCCTGTTACTTGCTCGCTCCTCCTGGGTCCCGATATGAACATCTTCAACAAGGCCAACAGCACCGCTGCAGGGTATCTGTTCCATACCAGTGACAGCGGTGACATCTGGGATCTTGCCGACCTGACCCTTCAGTGTGGACGACGTGGAGACAGCTTGAAGCTTGCCCTTGCCTGGATCTACTATGGTGCTGCTGGTTTCGAGAAGCAGATTGACCACGCATTCGAGCAGTCTGCGTACCTTGCCAACCTCATCAAGCAGAGTGACAACTTTGTCTTGGTATCTCAGGATCCTCCACCTTGCCTACAAGTGTGCTTCTACTACGCCCCCGGTGGAGACTTGCCCGATGACAAGGAGGTCAACACTCTCCGAACCAAAACCATGGTCGAGAAGATGATCCTCAGGGGTTACATGGTTGACTATGCTCCCGGACCTAAGGGTAGCTTCTTCCGAGTTGTGGTCAATTGCCAGACGCTGAAGGGAACCGTCGAAGGTCTCGTCAAGGGCCTTGAGGAAGTTGGACGCGAGTGAGCACGAAAATCATTTGTCTCCATTTAACATGGAGAAGAGACTTGAATGAAGGAATGATAAAAAGGAGCTAGAGGAAGAGGACCAGGATCTTCGCTGGCTAGATAAGAAGAGCTTAGAGACGTTTTTGTTTTACGATTTACGATTAGATCTAGACTAAAACAGTATAGAACGATTAAAGAAAAGAACGATGGAGTTTCTGAGATGAAATATCTCTTTATTCTTGAGTGAAAGAAATGCATATGTTGTATTCAGGTTGTTGTGCAGCATCATTGCTGCTCTAGCCTTATCTTATCGATAATCCTTATCACCATCTCAAGCCAGAAATTTTTGGAAAACATCTGGACCAGCAACCAACCGCCCCGCCAAAATTTCTCTTGAATTCATTGCTTCACGACAATCTTTGAATTCACAAATCAACATGCCCAAGCCTAGAACGAAGCGCGGCCACGGTCGCGAGGAGAAGAAGCGCAAGAGACGCGAGGAAGCCGAAAGCTACGAAGCTCACGAAAACGACTCTAAGCGCCAGCGAACCACCGACGAGAACGGTTACCAAGATGGACAGGAGGCGCAGGAGAATGGCATTGGGGAGAAGGAGTTTTTCGGAATGCTCGCGGACGAGGAGCAGGAGTACTTCCGTCGCGCTGATGAGCTCCTCGAGTTGAACCAATTCCCCTCGGACGAAGAGCGCGACGTCTTCCTCGAGAACGTGTGGAAGGAGGCCGAGAACAAGGAGCTTAAGCTCGCCAGCAGTCAATCTTGCTCGCGGCTGATGGAGCGTCTAATCCAGCTGTCCACCACAGCGCAGAAGAAGCGCCTGTTCGAGGCCTTTGCGGGACACTTCCTCTCGCTCGTGCAGCACCGCTTCGCGAGCCACTGCTGCGAGGCCCTGTTCTTGCGGTCCGCGGGCGTCGTGACAAAGGAGCTTTCTGGGTTTGTGGGGTTTGTGCTGGATACCAAGGGTGCGGGAGGTGATGCTGAGAAGCCCGAGGCTGCTATGGAGCATCTCTTCCTGGCGACGCTGGACGAGCTGGAGGGCAGCTTGTCGTACCTTATCACGGACCGGTTTGCGTCGCATACTCTGCGTGTCCTCCTACTCGTCCTCTCTGGTCGACCATTGGAAGACTCTTCGTCGCGAACTCTTATGAAGAGCAAGAAGAAGGAGAAGATCTCTGTTTCTGGAGCCGAGGCTGCTGACGAGGCCAACAAAGGCCTGAGGGCTGTGCCTCCTTCGTTCACCATGGCGGCCACCAAGATTATCCAGGACTCGACGGCGGGTATGGATGCGACCAGTCTACGGGTGCTCGCCAGACACCCCATGGGCAACCCTACGCTACAGCTTCTGTTGGAGCTTGACCTGACGCTGAACAAGGGTGAGCAAAAGGCAGATGCTGAGCGACCGACTCTCCTATTCCAGCTGTTGCCCGGTGCTCCCAAGTCTTTGAGCGACGGCTCATCAGAGGCTTCTGAGTTCATCAACGGCATGATCTACGACCAGATTGGATCACGACTCATTGAGACGCTCATCACACACGCCCCTGGCAAGGTCTTCAAGGCTCTCAACCAAAACATTTTCCTCCCCCGGATAGAAGGATACGTGCGAAACGATGTTTCGTCCTATGCAGCCATCCGAGTACTGAACCGACTGAGCAAGGATGATCTGGTACAAGCGGTTGAGCAAATCACTCCTACCGTACCCCAACTGGTCACAAAGTCGAGATTCAACGTTCTCAAGACTCTCTTTGAGAGATGTGCTGCTCGTGGCGCAAATGACGAGATCAAGAAGCTCAACAAGGGGCTCAAGGAGGGATGCGGAAAGACACCGGCTGATTTGGTTACCTACCTGTGCGGATTCAAGGATGAGGAGAAGAAGAAGAAGGACGTCCAGCAGTTGTCTAAGAACGAGTACGCTATTCAGTCTCACGGCGCCCAGCTTCTCACTGCACTGCTCTCGATACCCGGACCCGTAAAGGGCGTTCAGGAGTCTCTTCTCGCCGTTGAGCCGACTGTCCTCGTCCGTCTTGCCACTACCTCTATGCCTACCGTTACCGTCCTCACCACGGCTTTGGCAACCCCTTCTTCCAACCCTGCCTTCCACAAGTCCATCGTCAGCTCTCTTCTCCCACACATCCACGAGCTCGCAGTCCAGCAATTCGGCCACAACCTCATCAACGCCATCGCCGAGGTGCCCAGCAAGGGTAAGGAGCGTAGTGTGCCCTTCCACATGAAGGAGGCCATCATGGCGCGCCTTGGCGAGCATGAGGCAGAGCTTCGAGATAGCTGGATGGGCAGAAGCGTGTGGCGAAACTGGAAGGGTGACATGTGGAAGACACGGCGCCGAGACTGGAAGGTTTGGATGCGAGAGGTTGATGCTCATATTGAGTCAACCTTGCCTCAGCGAGGACGAGCTGCTGAGAAGCAGCAGGCCGCTCAAGACAAGCCTTCCAAGAAGGAGGAGCCAGTTGTTGAGGATAAGATGGAGGTGGATGAGGTTGTAGAGAAGCCTGAAGAAGTAGAAGAGGCTGTAGAGACGCCTGAGGAGGTGGAAGAAGTCGAAAAGACTGAAGAAGTCAAGGAGAAGAAGAAGGAGAAAAAGGACAAGAAGGATAAGAAGGAAAAGCGCGAGAAGAAGGAGAAGAAGGACAAAAAGGAGAAGAAGGAGAAGAAGAAGAGCAAGCCAGAAGAAGCCGAAGTAGTGGCCGAGGATGAGGAGTAAATAGATTTCACCAGGGAATAGCGGTCATAGATACCCAAATGTTGAGCCAACCAATCTCAAATTGTGGACAATTGGGTTGCATTGCACATGTTAATGAAGCCTTTCATGATTATTGTACCAGTAACATTTACTTACCCTATTCTTCCCCGCCTTGATGAATCATTGTCAACCAGTTTTCACGATGATTCATGTTTAAATCAGACAGGTATAAGTTTGCTCAGTTGGCCTCTTTACACATAGTTTGTCTTGATGCTTCTTGTTGTTGTTGCTGCTGCCGTTGCTTCAGTCGCAAATTTCTCATGTGTGCTATACACCTAACAAACAGATATGGATCCGAACGTAAGCAACACCACATGAGCACGACTATAAGAACCCCGTCCTCATCCTTCTTGACCAGCATGTTCTTCCCCACGCTTCAACACCCTCCCCCCTTTGATCTTGGTCTTTGCCCGACTTTATATTAGCTCTACTTGTCCTGTCATCAACAGATCCGCCACCAGAGGACATTCAATTATTATATACCCGCGGCTCCATCACGACGACGAGACGAGCCTTTTATCGTGGTCCTGCCGTGGAGATTCTGTACAGGACTCTGGTACCTCACTCGAAATTTCAGACGAATGGTGACCAACCGATGGAGATTCCGCTTGATTCTCCATAGACGAAGAGAGCACTCAAAATGAACGGATTGGCCGGTCTCTAAAGACTTTTCAGCAATAGGTACGGCTACAAGAGTCGACCCAAGTGTCAGGACCAGCGAGCCTTAGTGAACATCCTTGGGCCTAGCCAACGAGGATAATGCTTCGAGTTGATGTTGAGCAACATATCTCAACCCGCTTGGATCAAGCAGCGCATTTAGTTATTGGGCTCTGCGTGACATGGGGGTTTCTTGAGCAAAGGTGTTGGCCGCAAACGAGATCCAGTTCGATCTCTGTGGCCCTGACGGCAGACCATCGGGGTGACTATTTATATATACATCATCCCATCGACATGGATGACGGATGCTTCGACTCACGCCTTAGAAGAACAGGACGCAGATGTCTACCGACAAGGACGACGTTACTTGTCTTGATCCACAAGATATCAGTTCAGAAGATTATACCGGTCCCTAAGAAGGAGGAATGTCTTGTATGACATGCATTCACTGGCTTCTCTACAGTGGTCAACCTGTTATTTGAGGTCATAGGTCGGATAAGTGCTGCGAGGAGTGTCCTCGTCGAAAGAAGCGTTGCAAGAGGGAAGGCAGTCTCTTTTGATACGAACCCTGGACTCCACCGAGTCGCTGAACGTCTTATTTCTACCGGGAAAGAGAGAAAGATGATCCAGCCCCATCTATGAGAGGTGGGAAGCATGGGAAGGAGTCAAATCAAGCAAAATTTACAAAAGAATCTCATCGACCTGGCTGGAGATTTCCCATAAGCAAAACGGTAAGCCTCAAAACATCGGGCGGTATAGGACATGATACTAACCCAAGGAATAGACGTATATATATCATGAAGCACTGAAAACCGGCCCATGTCCACGAAGGAGGACACGCCCAAGTTTCACCTCCCAGCCCCTACACATGGGCTTTGCCCCTCTCCAGACCTAGAGCCGTGGTAGTAAACGAGATCGAACGGCTGGAAGACACAGAGGAAGAGACCATCCTGAAGAGTCAGGATATCTCGACACCCGCGATCCATTCGTCCAAGGCCCGAAGGAAGCCAAGAGGGATTGTGGATCTCGATCACCTCGACGAGGCTTTGGTCTCACTTTGTGGCCCCTGAGGGAGAGTGCGAATATCGCCCTACGTTTGCACCCCAAGCTAATCCATAAAGTGTGGTCGGTACAACGTAAATGCACCGACCCCATACTCCATCGGCTTCTGCGTTGGTCAATTGTCCTGGGGAAGTGTCCACGCTGCAATGTGGCCTACGAAACCACTCACGAACAGGGTCGCAGGGGGATGGAAGTTTTGTCAACTGTTTTGTGTTCCCTGCGATTGATCGCTGTCAGACGGGGATCATCGGGGGCCGTTGACTTGGATCTGCGATTACAGCCACACCAAAGCATTGCTAAGAGATTCCCAAAGTTCCAACTTGATGGGCCTATCTTCGTTTATATATCGCTGGGCTTTGAGTATCCAAGAGCCGGAAAGAAACTGGCTGTCGAAGCATCGAAAAGGTATCCCCCTCTTCAACCACTCTCACTAAAGCTTTATCGGTGCAATTCCACATCTATGCTATATATCGCCACCTCGCTCACTTTCTACACTCAATCGAAGTGCTCTGCTGGGCCCCCTTCGACGTGGACGACCCAGGCCTGCTGCCTCCTCCATGTTCAATTTCACCTGCTGAACTGTTCCGAGGCAGAGGGCCCCAAGCAGACCACTTGAAACCCGAGAGGACGATAGTGGCACAAAGAAGAACGCTGTTATACAAGTTAATTCGACAGAACTGACGAGCTCATCAGTATCTTCCGACTGAACCCCTGCGCTACGATCAGGTTAGCAGCGATGTCAAGCATCGGCCAGATATAGGCCGGCTTTACAAAACGGTAACAGGACGGATACTATGAGGCGACAATCAGAGATGTCACATCTTCACCACCGTGGAAGCTCACTTGGACGGGAGCTCCTTGCCTGAGATTCAGTGCCAGACAACTTGATCAGTAGTTTTGACCCCTCTGGGGTTATACTAGACCTTCATCCCTGCAGAAACTCGATCGCTTCTGGCATCAGCACAACAGTGGCGGATCACACATCAAGTCAAAATCTCTCTCTCCTCCCCTAAGTTCTACGACTCAACTCGACGTCGATGATCAATATATATATGCCCGGCCTCGCTATATGTGGCAAGAATTCGACACATCTGGTGGCTCTACTCTTCGGGCTTTTGGGTATCCGTCTGGCATAACTGTCGCTCATCGGCTCTTACCTGCCCAGAGCCAGCGACTATATGGGGAGTCGCCCTCTACGGATTCACTTCCAGAAGACTATGTTGCTCTCCGATTTATGGACTCCAACGCCTCAGTATATATCTCACTAGTCCCTAGTTGGACCTCGCAGACCTACAAGAACTATAACGTCAGGATTCCTCAGGAATACCCTTTGACTCCACGATTTCGATAGGTTCACTTTCATCAGCATATATATCACGGCTGTTAAGAAGGCATTCGAAGCCAAGCGCGCCTCACTTGTCGAAACGGCCGATACTTGGTCGCCCAGTTCTGGGGGCCCTGATTTGGGAGTGACCTGGGAAGGAATGTGGGACATCCAGTCTGTCAGTTCGTGAGGCGGCCAGGCTCATCGGCGCTCATCTCACACTCCACTCAGTCTTGAAAGGGATGCGCGGGGGCTGGGAAACGAGATTTGGGTTCTCTACTCTAAAGAAAAAAGACAACACGCGACGATTCAAAGACGTCCTTCGAGTACACCGGGATCGTCAGAACGTACCTTCAACTCTCGATAATCATCGGGAACGTCTTACATACTCATGGCTCAATCGGAATCTGCTAGGTCAGAAGTTTGCCCTCTGTGTCTGCCGTTGGGAAAGTTCGCCCTCTGCGTTTGCCGCTGGGAGGATCCGATGACGAACGGGATCGCAACAACACCACACACAGCTGTGAGAAGGTCTATATAAGTACATGAAAACAGCCAGATTCTACCTGCAAATGAGCATCGCTAGAATTGATCATTATATCTCAACCTGTTTGAATTGTGGTTGTTTGTGCTCTAGAGAGTGCCGAAGCGGGGCGATGTCGGGGCTGGGATGGCATCTTCATCATGCACACACCTTTCCTGCTATCCTTTTACATGCCTGGCTTCCTCAATGAATCAGCTTGATATGGGTTCTAGATGGGGGAAGAGAAGCAGAATCAGCCGCGACTCTTCTTCTATCGTTCACGACGTCTCTATCAGTGTTGGCGCAGTCGAATGAGCTAGAGGTTTCTTCTACAGTCGAGTCATGTCGAGGTATACCGCCTCCCCTCAAGTTTACAGACACAAGGACTTCAATCTCTCCCAGGGATGAGCTTAGAGCATGAGAACAATCACCCGCGACTTGTTTGGACTAAATAGTTTATTATTTATATTCCCCGAGTGCCTCCATACGCCAAGTACCTGGTAGAAGCCCGCACCAACTACACAGATTTTATATATAACAATTTGGGAACCTGGAAAGACAGAAGGACCTCAAACTTCCGGTCCGCTTTGATACCAACTTTCAGCACAGATGGATGCCTCGCAGTCCCTTCTCCTTGATCGCTGGTGCTGCAGAGGAGCAGCGGATGGTGGATGAACAAATGCGAACTAGATGGGATCTCGGTACACTCTTGCTAATTTATATACAAAATGTGCTTTTGAGACAGTTACTATGGGAGGCTGAGCTCGTGGCCTATGGTATCCAAGCCTAAGAATAGTCCAACTATACATCCACAGTCCCAGAGGAGCAAGTGCGCGTCAGCAGGATCAGTGACATGGCATCGAGGACTAGGTCGAGGGACGAGGGCATTCCCTCCTCTCACGGGGTGCATCTATGCCTGCAATCTCCATAGTGTGGCCAGACGCGACCCGCGGAGAGACACCAGCTCAGAGCTGCAATTGCTGCTCCGTGTCACAAATGGTTCCTTAGACATACTGGGAACGACTCGACGCGCCGACAGTACAGGGACAGATGGAGCGCCCCTCTGCAGCATGCCTCGGCTCTGACCTTCACCCAACAAGCCGTATATAGAAACCCCTAAGCCTGCGCTGCGCAACATGAGTCCCGCGGAAATCCCCAAGGACTTGGTTGATGTGCATCGCGGATGACCCCCTACGCCACGAAGCGGACATCCCCATAATCAACTGCCTCCAATGTAAAGGCCCGAAAAAAAGAAGCAAAATTTTTTGATCACGATACGATCAAAAATACTCACGCCCAAATAAAAGGGTCGTATTCGCATGTTTCCAGACGTGCTCCGATATCGTTGCTCAAGGACAGTCTGCCACGTCGTCACAAAAGCCTTCAGCCCCCTCCGGA